ATACTTATATTTATAAAAAATAATATATTTATAAAAATAAATTATATTATACAATTTTTTTGTATAATTAAGAAATGAACCTATTATTAGGTTGCAAAATTTATTTTTTATTATTAGTTGGCTTCAGATCCGTATTTTGCAGTTTTTCTGCTTTATCATCCGATTTTTCTTTTAATTCTTAGCTCTTTCGGCTGCTAGGGCTTTAGCTTGTGCTATACTTTGTTCATTTTCCTTTGTATGGCTTCCTTTTCAGCTTCCGTTAATTCACCAAAAATACTTACAATAAAATCATGTAATTCTCGCATATGCTGTAGTTTATTACCCGTAGCTGGAGCAGCGGCACAGGGCCGACCATGATATTGAATGGGACAACTAGAATTTGAGCATAAAAAAACAAATATGTTTTTAAATTGATCTATTTCTTTAAAATTAAATTTTTTTTTGGAAAATACATAGTTAGTTATGTAGTTAGTTAGTTAGTTAGTTAGTTAGTTAGTTAGTTAGTTAGTTAGTTAGTTAGTTAGTTAGTTAGTTAGTTAGTTAGTTAGTTTAGGTTAGTTAGTTAGTTAGTTAGTTAGTTAGTTAGTTAGTAGTTAGTTAGTTAGTTAGTTAGTTAGTGGTTAGTTAGTTAGTTAGTTAGTATAGTTAGTTAGTTAGTTAGTTAGGTTAGTTAGTTAGTTAGTTAGTTAGTTATTGAGTTAGTTAGTTCGTTAGTTAGTTCGTTCGTTCGTTGTTAGTTGTTCGTTAGTTAGTTCGTGTGTTTCGTTCGTTAGTTGTTCGTTCGTTCGTTCGTTAGTTCGTTCGTTTGTTCGTTCGTTCGTTTCGTTCGTTCGTTCGTTCGTTCGTTCGTTCGTTCGTTCGTTCGTTCTTTCGTTCGTTCGTTCGTTCGTTCGTTCTTCGTTTCGTTCGTTTTCGTTCGTTCGTTCTTTTCGTTCGTTCTTCGTTCGTTCTTTTCGTTCGTTCGTTCGTTCTTCGTTCGTTCGTTTCGTTCGTTCGTTCGTTCGTTCGTTCGTTCGTTTTCGTTCGTTCGCTGGTTTCGTTCGTTCGTTCGTTCGTTCGTTCGTTCGTTCGTTCGTGTTCGTTCGTTCGTTCGTTCGTGTGTTCGTTCGTTCGTTCGTTCGTTCGTTTTCGTTCGTTCGTTCGTTCGTTCGTTCGTTCGTTCGTTCGTTCGTTCGTTCGTTCGTTCGTTCGTTCGTTCGTTCGTTCGTTCGTTCGTTCGTTCGTTTCGTTCGTTCGTTGTTTCGTTCGTTCGTTCGTTCGTTCGTTTCGTTCGTTCGTTCGTTCGTTCGTTCGTTCGTTCGTTCGTTCGTTCGTTCGTTCGTTCGTTTCGTTCGTTCGTTTTCGTTTCGTTCTTTCGTTCGTTCGTTCGTTCGTTCGTTCGTTCGTTTCGTTCGTTCGTTCGTTCGTTCGTTTTCGTTCGTTCGTTCGTTCGTTCGTTCGTTTCTTTTCGTTCGTTCTTCGTTCGTTCGTTTTCGTTCGTTCGTTCGTTCGTTCGTTTCGTTCGTTCGTTCGTTCGTTCGTTCTCGTTCGTTCGTTCGTTCGTTCGTTTCGTTCGTTCTTTCGTTCGTTCGTTCGTTCGTTCGTTCGTTTCTTCGTTTCGTTCGTTCGTTCGTTCGTTCGTCGTTCGTTCGTTCGTTCGTTCGTTCTTTCGTTCGTTCGTTTCGTTCGTTCTTCGTTCGTTCGTTTCGTTCGTTCGTTCGTTCGTCCCTCAATTTGTATCTTTCGCTTCCCCCAACGCGTGAGAAATGCGCTTGAGGAGTTTTGATATTGTACAATATGCGTTACAATTTTAAGAATGTTTCGATCTTTGTGTATAATTCAGATAAAATCTGGGAGGCATTCGATAATAAAAGGGCAGTTCTTATGTAGGAAGGGCGCCTGGCTCCTCATTAAAAATAATTTTGATATATTTTTTTGTAGAAAATTTGTTAAAAAGAGCTCACTAAAATTTAATTAAGTTATTTCAACACAATTCTATCAAACATGAAAAAAGTTCTGCATCATTTATGGGAAAATTCATTAATATATTTTTATAATTTTCAAATAAAATTTTGAAATTTAAAATTGAAATAATTTCACAAAAGTATTTATAATCTGTCAAATGTGCCAAATACCATTGATTACAAAAACGCATCACAAGCATATTTTGTTATTAATATTAATTATACGTTTCAATTAAAATTCCAAGTATTTATATTTTTGTCTCATAATAAAATCCCCAATGTCTACATATGTATTTTTCACTTAATAACGAAAATTTTGAGTCAAACTAAATACCTAACATAAATATTTTTAAATGTGCGATTATAGCATATCTTTCTTTTCTTTTTTTTTTTTGCATATATGTATATATAATTTGTATTTCAAATTATGTACATATAGAAAATAACAAAATTGGCAAAATTTTAAATATTTTGTTGTTGATGAAGAGGTTCAGACGCGTATTGTTAATAATTTCTTTGATTAGTTGCCAAAAAAAAAAAAAAATTAGATGCCAAATATGATTTGTTTTCTATGTATGTGATTTTTTTTTTTCTTAAAAAAGAAATTGCTACAAATATTGAATGAAGTTCATTGAACATTTTCTGAATTGAATATTTTTTTCTGATTGAAGTGAAAAGAAGGATTAAAATAATTATAAAAATGTATTTTGATCTTTTACGTAGATTGTTATTAAAAAAAATTTTCGATCAGAGGTTTGAATTAATTGATTCAATATAAGCTTTAGTTATTTTTAATTAACGAGCAGAACTAGAACTGAGCTAGAACTGAACTAGAACTCAACTAGAATTGAACTAGAACTGAATTAGAACTGAACTAGAACTAAACTAGAACTGAACTAGAACTGAACTAGAACCGATCTAGAACTGAACTAGAACTGAACTAGAACTGAACTAGAACTGAACTAGAACTGAACTAGAACTGAACTGAACTAGAACTGAACTAGAACTGAACTAGAACTGAACTAGAACTGAACTAGAACTGAACTAGAACTGAACTAGAACTGAACTAGAACTGAACTAGAACTGAACTAGAACTGAACTAGAACTGAACTAGAACTGAACTAGAGCTGAACTAGAACTGAACTAGAACTGAACTAGAACTGAACTAGAACTGAACTAGAACTGAACTAGAACTGAACTAGAACTGAACTGAACTAGAACTGAACTGAACTAGAACTGAACTAGAACTGAACTAGAACGGAACTAGAACGGAACTAGAACTGAACTAGAACTGAACTAGAACGGAACTAGAACGGAACTAGAACTGAACTAGAACTGAACCAGAACTGAACTAGAACTGAACTACACCATTTACAGTTGTATTTCAGAATTTTCCAGTTCTATTTCAGAAATTTCCATTTATATTTCAGAATTTTCCAATTATGTTTCAAAAATTTCTAATTATATTTCAGAAATTTCCAATTATATATCAGAAAATTCCAATTATATTTCAGAATTGTTTTTAATATTTCAGAAATTTCTACTTATATTTCATAAATGTCCACTTATATTTCAGAAATTTCCATTTATATTTCAGATATTTCTAATTATATTTCAGAAATTTCTAATTATATATCAGAAAATTCCAATTATATATCAGAAATTTCTAATTATATATCAGAAAATTCTAATTGTATTTCAGAATTGTTTTTGATATTTCAGAAATTTCTAATTATATTTCAGAAATTTCCAATTATGTTTCAGAAATTTCTATTTATATTTCAGAAATTTCTAATTATATATCAGAATTTTCGAATTGTATTTCAGAAGTTTCCAGTTGTATTTCAGAATTTTCAAATTGTATTTCAAAAAATTCCAATTGTATTTCAGAAATTATATTTTTATACAAAAATATTTATGTAACATTGTATGTAGTTATTTTAGGTCTATAAAACAACCTATATGTAGCGTTTAAACTCAAATTCCGGAGTTGTTTAGCTAACTACGACTTATATTGAATTGAACACATGTATTTATAAAATATTAACGATTCGTATTTTATTTTCGATATACAATTTATGTATAAATAAGTAATAAGCAGTAATCAAAAATTATAAAACAGAACAGCACTATGTATCCATATACATTTCAAAATTAAAATATATGTAGATTATTCGTCCTAAAATTACTACATACAATGTTACACAAATATTTTGGTATAAAAATATAATTTCTGAAATACAATTGGAATTTTTTGAAATACAATTTGAAAATTCTGAAATACAACTGGAAACTTCTGAAATACAATTTGAAAATTCTGAAATACAATTGGAAACTTCTGATATATAATTAGAATTTTCTGATATATAATTGGAATTTTTTGATATATAATTAGAAATTTCTGAAATATAATTAGAAATTTCTGAAATATAAATGGACATTTCTGAAATATAAGTGGACATTTATGAAATATAAGTAGAAATTTCTGAAATATTAAAAACAATTCTGAAATATAATTGGAATTTTCTGATATATAATTGGAAATTTCTGAAATATAATTAGAAATTTTTGAAACATAATTGGAAAATTCTGAAATATAAATGGAAATTTCTGAAATAGAACTGGAAAATTCTGAAATACAACTGTAAATGGTGTAGAACTGAACTAGAACTGAACTAGAACTGAACTAGAACTGAACTAGAACTGAACTAGAACTGAACTAACTGAACTAGAACTGAACTAGAACTGAACTAGAACTGAACTAGAACTAACTAGAACTGAACTAGAACTGAACTAGAACTGAACTAGAACTGAACTAGAACTGAACTAGAACTGAACTAGAACTGAACTAGAACTGAACTAGAACTGAACTAGAACTGAACTAGAACTGAACTAGAACTGAACTAGAACTGAACTAGAACTGAAATAGAATTGAACTAGAATTGAACTAGAATTGAACTAGAACTGAACTAGAACTGAACTAGAACTGAACTAGAACTACAACTGATGATAGGTTCCTACTGCGATGGCTAAAATATTTCTGGTTCGTAGGACCATTTATAGGATTTCGAATATAAGTAGATACTTTTCGATATCATTGTGGAATAGGTTTATAAAGACATCAAATTTCTGGACAAATTTTCCCGGGAATATCCAAATAAAAATATCAAATAAATATAAACGTAAATATTAAAATATGTATGTGTGTACATACTTATGTATGTATGTATGTATGTATGTATGTATATTTCTTTGTTTATATAAAATAATAATGAATGCCAAAAATATAAAACTGCCACCATCAAATAAAATAAAATCTAAACAATAGAGGCAACAGAATTGAATATTTCGAGCCGGTTGTTTAAACTTATTATGTATATAACAAATAAATATGTATATACAATATTATATTAAGGCATATCACATATTTACTAGGTTATTTCAATTTCGCAGTGAATCTGGACTAACAATTTGTATTCGAATCACTTCTGTATTGAACAAGAATGTTTCTGCATGAAACCTTGTGACAGGCCTAAATGTCAACAAAAAAATCAAAATACGAAAAGGCGAAAAAAATCTTGGCAGAAAATCATCTTTTGCATTACGAAAAACCAAAACAATTTTAATGGTGGGGAGGAAAATTAAAAACACACGAAATTTTTCTATATAATATATAAAACGATTCTAAGCAAATCCACATAGAGATAAACATATAAACAAAATTTTTTCTATATACCGAAGACACAAATATACAAATGTTTGTAATTAAAATTTATTGGTAATGCATTTAAATTAAAAATAAGAAAAAAAATTTAATTGAATTAAAACTAGAAAATTAAAGAAACATTTTTACAGTGTTTATAAATAAATATTTAAATTTTTAGTGGCAATTTTTTTTTTCTTGAAAAAAGAAAACATGATATTACAAATTCGCGCGAGCTCTTACAGGTTTTGTTGTTGACGGAAAAGTGAAGACGAAAAATATTTCTCGCAACTAATTGTGAAGACAAGTTCAAGAAAAATATTTTTAAAATATATGTATAATAAAAGTAAAGAATTTTAATAAATATAATAAATTTTAAATAAATTTAGAAAAATTTAGTTTAACAAGTAAAAAGAGTAGAAATTTAAATAAAATAAAAATAGAACTCAAGTTAATTAGAGCGAAAAGAAAAAAAGAACAGAGAAAATCGTATTAAAACGAGAGGGAGAGAAATTTTTGTGAAAAGTGAAGAGTTTGAGAAAAATTATACGAAAGAGTGTTGTTAAATAGTTGGAGAGAGTGATTGATTTTGTTGGGGGCACAAAATAGGTCAAAATTTGACTAAAAACATGACATCTCAAATGGAAGTCGCAATGCAACCGCCAGCAGCTGTTAAAACCTCTAATGACGTCAATTTATCAACGCAATTATCGATTCTTAATGATTCAGGTGATTCAAGCAATTCTACGTCAACACAGCCACCACTACTATTTACCTGTCAAACCATCAAATCAAATGGAAATCTATTATTTCCGCTTGGCGAAAATTATGAAAATAAAAAACAAAAATTAACAACATGGCAGGGTTTACTTAAACATTTAAAATCTCAACGTATTGTTAAAAATATGGAAATTTTTAATAAATTAAAAAGAAAACAACAACATCTTGAACATCAACAATTTCCGTTTGAAATTTTAAAGAAATATAACGGAAATTTTCCCTGTCAAAATAATAAAATTATGAAAAAATCTCTAAGAAATGAGTTTAAATATGGACAAAAACTGAAATTTCCTTTAAGATCTAAGCCCCGAAAATGTTCATTTCTTTATGCTGATAAAGGTTTTCAAGAAAAAGATTATACAAATTCTAAAATTTTACAATTGGATTTCAAATTTAAACAAAACTTAAAAATCAAGCATAATATTAGAAAAGTCGAACAAAAGAAAGATTTTCAAAAATTTCCTTTAACTAAAATTTATAAATTCAATAAAGAATTTCCCTTACAACTTAAGCGACATGAGATTGAACTTTTAAAATTTCCTCTGAAAATAAACGAATACAAAGGACAATTTCCCTGTGAAAAAATAATTCCAAAAGAAACAAATTTGAAATTAAATCAAATTAGAATAAAGACATTATATCAAAATAAAGAAATTCTTAAGACCTCAAACACTTTAAGACAATACAATGAAAAATGTTTAATAAAATTTCCCAACAAAATAGATATGAAAGATCGCGCTTGTATTTCAACTTTTCCCTTACAAAATCCTGAAATAACTAAAGAAAACTCTTTAAACAATTATTTAAATAATAATTATAATAAAATAAACAATTCTGATCCATCGAAAACATCATCATCATCTACTTGTTCGACATCATTATCAATGACGCAAAATGTTCAAAAATTTCAAAATATTGATAATGAATGTATGTCTCAAGTTCAAGACGCACAAGTTCATGTGGAGGAAAATCCACTAACAACACCAACAACATCACCATTAAAGATCAACGAAAACAAACAACCAACGCCTCCACAAACAACAACAACAACAACAACAAAATATGACGACGCCGATGTTTATATATTAGCAGCCATAAATTCTATAAATAATTCACGACCAAACGAAGTGGGTTATTATGCGGAAAAAATTGAGCGCATACAAGACGCCATTGTTGTGCTCTTTGAAAAAATTCAAAATTCTTTAACAACAAATCATAATAGCCCAAAAGAGAGCACAAACGCAACTCATCGTAAAGATGTTCAAGATCATGATGCCAATACTCGTTTCGCATTAACACCCCCAACGACTGTAACAAGTGTTCGAAATTCCGAGAGCATTAATGATGATGAAGAGGTTCTACTAACTAAATATGATCTTGGTGATCTCTGTGATCGTGAGGTTGGCCAAATTGTGGAACGCTCAGATGTACGCGATACGTTAGCTAAGGCGGTTGTTCACAGTGTCTCGAAAGCACAAACCAACAATAGTAGTACGGGTAGTTTTCTAGTTAAAAGTGAAGAACCAACCTCCCCATATTCCCCCACTCCCAAAACGTTAAATGAATCTATATTAAATACTACGTCACTTGAGGATTATACAAATTCTAGTGAATTAGTATTGCCAAAAAAATATAATGTGCTCGCTGCCGCACTGAATACAGAAATCAACGTTAAAGTTAAAAATAAATTGGAATTCGATCCCATAGAGACAATTAATGTACAAAATCGATTAAACGAGTTAAATGAAGTGTTACGCGATACGCCAACAAATACGTTAACGACCAATAATAATTTGACAAGTGTGAAAGTGAATGAAATGACTGTAACTCGTTTAGCGGACAATGAACAAGATTGCGCCAATAAAGACTTATTGCAAACACATGAAGCTCTTGAGCAAAAAAATAATATTTTATCTAACGACTTGCAAATCGATGAAATGAAGTTCGAAATGAATAGAGTAAAAGGAGCTTTGCCGACGACTACGTCTTCGGATCGTTCAATTGGTAAACATGAAAATTTACCCACAGCTGTTAATAGTGTTAGTACAAATTATGCTGGTCGTCATATTGGTTCTAACTTAGGAAGATTAACAAATGATTCTACTTTAAATAATAGCAGATTACCCTCTTCACTAAGTTCTTCACGTAATTATAATAGTGATAGTTCTTATACACCCAGATCGTCAGCGTTGAAAACTGATAATTCGGCTAGCAAACGTTCTAGCATTAGTTCTCATTTACCACCAGAAGCTATAGCAAATCGTTCGGTTTTAAATACGCCCTCAATAAGTGAAACAATTTCAAATCGTTCCGCCTTAAGGAGAAATTCAAATGATTCTACTGCTGAAGTTGTATCAACTCGTCGCCCCTCTTTGGGTGCCTTAAGAAATACACAATCCACCTCTTTGCTATCGGTAGATTTAGCCCGTTATACCCCCCTAAACACAAGCAATCAAACGGAACAACCTTCTGCTGTTAGTCGTGCCGTTTCCATAGACTCTTCTTTGGAAGATGTTCTACCAGAAAGAACACGCTTACGTCGTCAAAGACGTTTAAGAACTCAAGATTCTCAAGATGAAGCCGAAGATCCCATAGAACGTTTAAATCGTTTAAAGGCTCGCATATCAGCATCGCTCAGTGAAGTCAAAGGCGTTTTGAAGCAATACAGCACCGATAATGAAAATGACAATGAAACTCAAACTCAAACTCCAGCTGTGGCCAACAATCTTAAGGAATCCAAAGAGGAGCCTAAGAAAGAAGAAGCCCCCGTTACATTTAGATTTGTGAAAAAAGTACGCAGACGTAGTTTGTTCACCGAAGAGAAAGAGAAAGAGGAAAAGGAACGGGAGAAAGCCAATGAAAAATTATTAGAATCTAAAGATGAAACGGATAATATAAACAGGAAGATTGAAACCAAACTACCCGCTCTGAATTCTGAAGTTATAAAAGAAGAATTAAAATCCAAATGCGAAAAACAAGAGGAAAATCACATCGAAAATAAGGAAGTGATTAAAACTAAAGATCAAGTCCAAACTTCGACTACAGAAATCAATAAAAATCTTTACACTTTAAAGGAAGAACAACAGGAATCTTTGGAAGATATTAAAGCAACTGAAAATAAAACAGAAGCTAAAGATCACATTAAGATTGCCCAACAAAATGGTGAATCACAAGATAAGATTGAAATTAAGATCGAAGAATCAACTGAAGATGACAAAAATCACAAGGAAGATGTACCAACTGTGAAGGAGGAAACTAAAGGAGCCATACCCAAACCACCTGTAAAAAAAGAAGCTGATCACGAAGCCCCCACTAAAACTAAGAAAAAAGTGATAATAAAAACTAAAGATCCAGCTCGAAGAGCTTCCTTGGCGGCTGTAGAAGGATCCAAAATTGAACCCCCCGTAAAGTTGGCCATACCAGCTAAAATACATCGACGACCTTCCGATTCGGAGGCAATGGTCAAAAAGAAATTAATTACCGCCAAAATAAATACTTCCGGTATAGTTGAGGAAGTGACGCCAAAACCGAAAATTGTGAAAGTTAAGAAATCCTCTATAAAAAGCAACAATAACTCGCAATTGGCAACAACGCAATCAAAACAAAAAGAACAAGAGAAGAACGATAAAAGTGATGATCTTGTCAAATCGATAGACGAAGACAATAAATCGATACACACTGATAAAAACAAGGATGTTTTAATGCCAAAACCATTACAACAACAGCAGCAACAACAACAACAATTACAACAAATTAACAACGAAATCACTAGCCAAAGAAATTTATTGCTGCCAACGCAATTAGTGATCGATGAGGCGGCGTCATTAAATGTAAAAACAATTGAAAATTCAGTGCCACCGCCGAGGCAAGAACAACAACAACAACAACTGCAACAAGAAAAGCAGGCGACAATTAAATCTACAACTACAAATTTCAAATCAAACGATTTACAAGCTGCTGGCGGCGCTATGTTAGAAAATGCAACAACTGTGTTAAGTTCATCAAAAACTAGCGAAGCAAACGGTCAATTAAAGCGGGAAAACGTAGTGCAACCGGACGATTTGCGAGATCTTTTGCAACAAGAAACAACTATAATCAAAACTTCCACAATCAAGGAAGAGCAAACTAATCATGAAACTAAAATTAAACAACTTTCCATAAAAGAAACGGAAAAATCTAAAGATAATTTAGAAATTACACAAACTGAAAAAGTAGAACAGAAGCCTATAATAACACAACAGCAACAACACCAGCAGGTGGTTGCAACAACGGATGTTGTGATCGTTAAAAGCGAAGAAGACAACAACAAGCAAAACGACGACGTCAAAGTATCGTTAAAAGAGCCTTGTATAGATAAAACACCAACGTCAACCCACATCGCTGTAGAGCAACAACAACAACAACAAGGAGAACGATCAATAACGAAAGTAGCTGATACAAAAACCATAAGCTCTCCACACAATTCCATTAGTAGCTCAACAGACCTCACACCAAAAACAACTACATCATCAAACGAGCAAAAAACTGCAGTACCAGCACCTCAACCAAACACAATGCCTGAACAGCAATTGGCACCTGCACCCGTGCAAACGGCTGAAATTATAGCACATCCGGAACAGCATAAAAAGAAAGTAATTCTCAAAAAAATCGTACGACAAGCCTCGGTAGATAAAACCCAGAAAGCAGATTTAGAAATCACAAAACCTGCTCAAGAAGTTGAAAAAGATACGGAAACTATTACAGATGCAGCAGTTTTAGAACCCGCAAAAGATGAATTGACTGAAGAATGTTCAGAATCTACCGAAATATCGGAATCCTCCAATTCCCTTGGTTCTGAGGAAGCAGCAGCCACCGAAAAACCCAAAAAGGAACGTAAAGTGAAACAGAAAGTTATTATTAAGAGACAGAAACGTAGACTTTCCATAGGTGATAACTTCTTCCATCCGGGCGCCACAGAAGAACCACAAAATACTGAAATAGAAACTTTAGAAAAACCCATATCTTATGTCACTGACGAAGATGATTCCATAACTGATGAATCAGAAAATACCAAATCGGAACAAGAACAGGAAGATGAAATTAAACCTTTGAAATCTTGTATCATGCACAAGGAGTACCATATTGGCGATGAAGTCCTATATGCGGAACGTTTTAAAAAGACTCAGATTAAATGGCGTCGTGGTCGCATTAAGGAACGTATTACCAGTATATCCTATTTACTTGATATCGATGGCAAAGATGTATCATCGCATATAAACTATTTGAAAAAATTCACCGGACGTAAAGTGAGTTTTGGTGGTAAGGAATATCTGGAAATAGACTATGAACAATTGGCGGAAGAGGAGGAAAAAGCCGAAAGGCTACAAAGACGTACCTATAGCATATGGAATATGGTGTAAGTTGGAAATTGCTATAACAAATTAAAAATAATTACAAAAAGTGTCCAAAAGCAATAAAAATCCTTTAATTTTAGTTAAAACCTGTAGCGGTAGTTTTAAATTTATTGATTGAATTTGAAAAATAGTTTTAATTTTATACCCCCTTTAAAACATCCTTTCGAATTATGGAGAGTGTAAATAGTTTTTATTTTAACTTTTTTCTACCATTTTAGTTTTAATTATACTTATTATTATTATTCTTTTCTTTGAGTTTAATTAAAAAATTTTAGTTTTTATAAAATTTTTTAATGGATCTCTTTAACATTCTTGTATATTGTGTGTAAATATGTAATAAATCCTTATAATATGTATATATTAATTATAAATTAATAAATCCTTTAGGGTAGTATTAATTTTTTATTTCTTTAATTTTTATTTATTTTTTAGTTTTTTTTTTAGCTTTTATATTATTATTTTTTATTAAATTTTATTTTAAAACAAAGCATCCTGTTATATTGTAAATAAGATAAAAATATGATCCTTCTAAAAATAAATTCACAATAAATAAAATTTTTAAATTTTTATTTTAAACGAAAAAAAAACACATCATTGGTTTTATTTAAAATCTCACAAATGACATCATTAATAATATTCAAAAATATTTTCATTCACATTTCATTGTATATTTAACCCTAAAAAGTGTTCATGGCTTTTTTTAAATAAATAGCTCATAAAAACATTAGTATGGTGTTGCAAGTTTTTAACAAGTTTTTATATGAATCTAAATATGTCGGTGTATAGGTCCACAATTGATCTTAGCTCCTTAATAAGGGCTAATTATGAAAAACCGTTATAAATTACTTTATTAAATTCCGAAAATCAATATTTTCTTTAATAGAGTGAATTCTGCTTGTTATTTCTATGAAAGCCCATTATATTTTCTATCAGTTAAATCGGCCAATAAATGACTCAGATCTAATGAAAAAGGTTCTTGTTCTGTTCAGTTCTAGTTCTAGTTCAGTTCTAGTTCAGTTCTAGTTCAGTTCTAGTTCAGTTCTAGTTCAGTTCTAGTTCAGTTCTAGTTCAGTTCTAGTTCAGTTCTAGTTCAGTTTCTAGTATAGTTCTAGTATAGTTCTAGTTCAGTTCTAGTTTCAGTTCTAGTTCAGTTCTAGTTCAATTCTAGTCAATTCTAGTTCAGTTCTAGTTCAGTTCTAGTTCAGTTCTAGTCTAGTTCTAGTCCAGTTCTAGTCCAGTTCTAGTTCAATTCTAGTTCAAATCTAGTTTCAATTCTAGTTCAATTCTAGTTCAGTTCTAGTTCCACAGTTAGTTCAGTCTAGTTCAGTTCTAGTTCAGTTCTAGTTCAGTTCTAGTTCAGTTCTAGTTCAGTTCTAGTTCAGTTCTAGTTCAGTTCCAGTTCAGTTAGTTCAGTTCTAGTTCAGTTCTAGTTCAGTTCTAGTTCAGTTCTAGTTCAGTTCTAGTTCAGTTCTAGTTCAGTTCTAGTTCAGTTCTAGTTCAGTTCTAGTTCAGTTCTAGTTCAGTTCTAGTTCAGTTCTAGTTCAGTTCTAGTTCAGTTCTAGTTCAGTTCTAGTTCAGTTCTAGTTCAGTTCTAGTTCAGTTCTAGTTCAGTTCTAGTTCAGTTCTAGTTCAGTTCTAGTTCAGTTCTAGTTCAGTTCTAGTTCAGTTCTAGTTCAGTTCTAGTTCAGTTCTAGTTCAGTTCTAGTTCAGTTCTAGTTCAGTTCTAGTTCAGTTCTAGTTCAGTTCTAGTTCAGTTCTAGTTCAGTTCAGTTCAGTTCTAGTTCAGTTCTAGTTCAGTTCTAGTTCAGTTCTAGTTCAGTTCTAGTTCAGTTCTAGTTCAGTTCTAGTTCAGTTCTAGTTCAGTTCTAGTTCAGTTCTAGTTCAGTTCTGTTCAGTTCTAGTTCAGTTCTAGTTCAGTTCTAGTTCAGTTCTAGTTCGTTCTAGTTCAGTTCTAGTTCAGTTCTAGTTCAGTTCTAGTTCAGTTCTAGTTCAGTTCTAGTTCAGTTCTAGTTCAGTTCTAGTTCAGTTCTAGTTCAGTTCTAGTTCAGTTCTAGTTCAGTTCTAGTTCAGTTCTAGTTCAGTTCTAGTTCAGTTCTAGTTCAGTTCGTTCAGTTCTAGTTCAGTTCTAGTTCAGTTATTCAGTTTCAGTTCTAGTTCAGTTCTAGTTCAGTTCTAGTTCAGTTCTAGTTCAGTTCTAGTTCAGTTCTAGTTCAGTTCTAGTTCAGTTCTAGTTCAGTTCTAGTTCAGTTCTAGTTCAGTTCTAGTTCAGTTCTAGTTCAGTTCAGTTCTAGTTCAGTTCTAGTTCAGTTCTAGTTCAGTTCTAGTTCAGTTCTAGTTCAGTTCTAGTTCAGTTCTAGTTCAGTTCTAGTTCAGTTCTAGTTCAGTTCTAGTTCAGTTCTAGTTCAGTTCGTTCAGTTCTAGTTCAGTTCTAGTTCAGTTCTAGTTCAGTTCTAGTTCAGTTCTAGTTCAGTTCTAGTTCAGTTCTAGTTCAGTTCTAGTCAGTTCTAGTTCAGTTCTAGTTCAGTTCTAGTTCAGTTCTAGTTCAGTTCTAGTTCAGTTCTAGTTCAGTTCTAGTTCAGTTCTAGTTCAGTTCTAGTTCAGTTCTAGTTCAGTTCTAGTTCAGTTCTAGTTCAGTTCTAGTTCAGTTCTAGTTCAGTTCTAGTTCAGTTCTAGTTCAGTTCTAGTTCAGTTCTAGTTCAGTTCTAGTTCAGTTCTAGTTCAGTTCTAGTTCAGTTCTAGTTCAGTTCTAGTTCAGTTCTAGTTCAGTTCTAGTTCAGTTCTAGTTAGTTCTAGTTCAGTTCTAGTTCAGTTCAGTTCAGTTCTAGTTCAGTTCTAGTTCAGTTCTAGTTCAGTTCTAGTTCAGTTCTAGTTCAGTTCAGTTCAGTTCTAGTTCAGTTCTAGTTCAGTTCTAGTTCAGTTCTAGTTCAGTTCTAGTTCAGTTCTAGTTCAGTTCTAGTTCAGTTCTAGTTCAGTTCTAGTTCAGTTCTAGTTCAGTTCTAGTTCAGTTCTAGTTCAGTTCTAGTTCAGTTCTAGTTCAGTTCTAGTTCAGTTCTAGTTCAGTTCTAGTTCAGTTCTAGTTCAGTTCTAGTTCAGTTCTAGTTCAGTTCTAGTTCAGTTCTAGTTCAGTTCTAGTTCAGTTCTAGTTCAGTTCTAGTTCAGTTCTAGTTCAGTTCTAGTTCAGTTCTAGTTCAGTTCTAGTTCAGTTCTAGTTCAGTTCTAGTTCAGTTCTAGTTCAGTTCTAGTTCAGTTCTAGTTCAGTTCTAGTTCAGTTTTAGTTCAGTTCTAGTTCAGTTCTAGTTCAGTTCCAGTTCTAGTTCAGTTCTAGTTCAATTCTAGTTCAGTTCTAGTTCAGTTCTAGTTCAGTTCTAGTTCAGTTCTAGTTCAGTTCAGTTCTAGTTCAGTTCTAGTTCAGTTCTAGTTCAGTTCTAGTTCAGTTCTAGTTCTAGTTCAGTTCTAGTTCTAGTTCAGTTCTAGTTCAGTTCTAGTTCAGTTCTAGTATAGTTCTAGTATAGTTCTAGTTCAGTTCTAGTTCAGTTCTAGTTCAGTTCTAGTTCAATTCTAGTTCAATTCTAGTTCAGTTCTAGTTCAGTTCTAGTTCAGTTCTAGTCTAGTTCTAGTCCAGTTCTAGTCCAGTTCTAGTTCAATTCTAGTTCAAATCTAGTTCAATTCTAGTTCAATTCTAGTTCAGTTCTAGTTCAGTTCTAGTTCAGTTCTAGTTCAGTTCTAGTTCAGTTCTAGTTCAGTTCTAGTTCAGTTCTAGTTCAGTTCTAGTTCAGTTCCAGTTCAGTTCTAGTTCAGTTCTAGTTCAGTTCTAGTTCAGTTCTAGTTCAGTTCTAGTTCAGTTCTAGTTCAGTTCTAGTTCAGTTCTAGTTCAGTTCTAGTTCAGTTCTAGTTCAGTTCTAGTTCAGTTCTAGTTCAGTTCTAGTTCAGTTCTAGTTCAGTTCTAGTTCAGTTCTAGTTCAGTTCTAGTTCAGTTCTAGTTCAGTTCTAGTTCAGTTCTAGTTCAGTTCTAGTTCAGTTTCTAGTTCAGTTCTAGTTCAGTTCTAGTTCAGTTCTAGTTCAGTTCTAGTTCAGTTCTAGTTCAGTTCTAGTTCAGTTCTAGTTCAGTTCTAGTTCAGTTCTAGTTCAGTTCTAGTTCAGTTCTAGTTCAGTTCTAGTTCAGTTCCAGTTCAGTTCTAGTTCAGTTCTAGTTCAGTTCTAGTTCAGTTCTAGTTCAGTTCTAGTTCAGTTCTAGTTCAGTTCTAGTTCAGTTCTAGTTCAGTTCTAGTTCAGTTCTAGTTCAGTTCTGTTCAGTTCTAGTTCAGTTCTAGTTCAGTTCTAGTTCAGTTCTAGTTCAGTTCTAGTTCAGTTCTAGTTCAGTTCTAGTTCAGTTCTAGTTCAGTTCTAGTTCAGTTCTAGTTCAGTTCTAGTTCAGTTCTAGTTCAGTTCTAGTTCAGTTCTAGTTCAGTTCTAGTTCAGTTCTAGTTCAGTTCTAGTTCAGTTCTAGTTCAGTTCTAGTTCAGTTCTAGTTCAGTTCTAGTTCAGTTCTAGTTCAGTTCTAGTTCAGTTCTAGTTTAGTTCAGTTCTAGTTCAGTTCTAGTTCAGTTCTAGTTCAGTTCTAGTTCAGTTCTAGTTCAGTTCTAGTTCAGTTCTAGTTCAGTTCTTTTTCTAGTTCAGTTCTAGTTCAGTTCTAGTTCAGTTCTAGTTCAGTTCTAGTTCAGTTCTAGTTCAGTTCTAGTTCAGTTCTAGTTCAGTTCTAGTTCAGTTCTAGTTCAGTTCTAGTTCAGTTCTAGTTCAGTTCTAGTTCAGTTCTAGTTCAGTTCTAGTTCAGTTCTAGTTCAGTTTTCAGTTCTAGTTCAGTTCTAGTTCAGTTCTAGTTCAGTTCTAGTTCAGTTCTAGTTCAGTTCTAGTTCAGTTCTAGTTCAGTTCTAGTTCAGTTCTAGTTCAGTTCTAGTTCAGTTCTAGTTCAGTTCTAGTTCAGTTCTAGTTCAGTTCTAGTTCAGTTCTAGTTCAGTTCTAGTTCAGTTCTAGTTCAGTTCTAGTTCAGTTCTAGTTCAGTTCTAGTTCAGTTCTAGTTCAGTTCTAGTTCAGTTCTAGTTCAGTTCTAGTTCAGTTCTAGTTCAGTTCTAGTTCAGTTCTAGTTCAGTTCTAGTTCAGTTCTAGTTCAGTTCTAGTTCAGTTCTAGTTCAGTTCTAGTTCAGTTCTAGTTCAGTTCTAGTTCAGTTCTAGTTCAGTTCAGTTCAGTTCTAGTTCAGTTCTAGTTCAGTTCTAGTTCAGTTCTAGTTCAGTTCTAGTTCAGTTCAGTTCAGTTCTAGTTCAGTTCTAGTTCAGTTCTAGTTCAGTTCTAGTTCAGTTCTAGTTCAGTTCTAGTTCAGTTCTAGTTCAGTTCTAGTTCAGTTCTAGTTCAGTTCTAGTTCAGTTCTAGTTCAGTTCTAGTTCAGTTCTAGTTCAGTTCTAGTTCAGTTCTAGTTCAGTTCTAGTTCAGTTCTAGTTCAGTTCTAGTTCAGTTCTTCTAGTTCAGTTCTAGTTCAGTTCTAGTTCAGTTCTAGTTCAGTTCTAGTTCAGTTCTAGTTCAGTTCTAGTTCAGTTCTAG